GGGAAACCTCCTAACCCTGCACCACAATAAACACAACTAATAGTCATGATGAAAACTAGTATTTATTGAGTTCTCACCATGTCAGTTACTCTTCCATGGATTTTCTCTTATTTAAAAAGCCTCACAATAGTCAGGCATGGTGGTGCACATGTGTAATCCCAGCAGCTAGGGAGGCTGAGGCAGGAGGATAGCAAATTTGAGGACAGCCTGGATGACTTAGCAAGACCCTGACTCAAATTAAAAAAAAAAAAAAAAAAAAAAAAAGCTAAGGAGTGGTTCAGTAATTAAATACCCCTGGGCTCAATCCCTAGTACCACAAAAATAAAGCAAAACCCAGAATGTACAACATGGAATGAACCCTAATGCAAACTATGCTCTTTAATCAGTATTGATGGATCAACATTGATTCCTCAATTGTAGAATATGTGCTACAACAACTCAAGAATCACAGCAAGGAAACAAATGCCAAATGTCTTCTTTGATATAAGGAGAGCAACTAAGAACAGAGCAGGGAGGAAGAGCATGAGAAAAAGATTAACATTAAACAGGAACGAGAGGTGGGAGGGAAAGGGAGAGAGAAGGGAAATTGCATGGAAATGGAAGGAGACCCTCACTGTTATACAAAATTACATATAAGAGGAAGTGAGGGGAAAGGGAAAAAAACAAGGGAGAGAAATGAATTACAGTAGATGAGGTAGAGAGAGAAGATGGGAGGGGAGGGGAGGGGGGATAGTAGAAGATAGGAAAGGCAGCAGAATACAACAGTCACTAGTATGGCACTATGTAAACGTGGATGTGTAACCGATGTGATTCTGCAATCTGTATATGGGGTAAAAATGGGAGTTCATAACCCACTTGAATCAAGTGTATGAAATATGATATGCCAAGAGCTTTGTAATGTTTTGAACAACCAATAATAAAAAAAATAAAATAAAATAATGTTGAACATCTAAAAAAAAAAAAGAATCACAGCAAGGAAGACTGGGATGGGGAGAGAGAAGATATAGATAAAGTCTCTTTACTTCCACTTGATTTTTCTGTAACTGCTCTAAGGAAGTCAGTTATCACTTGATTTTCTTGAGACAGTGTTTTGCAATGTTGCCTGTTTCTCAGGCTGACCTTGAACTTGTGGATTCTCCTACTTTAGCCTCCCAAATAGCCAGGACTACAGGCCAATGTCAGCATGCCCAGCCTAGGCCTATCATATTTTATTAAGGTTTGCATGCTTTCCTCAAAATTTAATATTCAGTTGTTTTATGTTTTTTACCATTTATCATCATCATCATCATCATCATCATTTTGCAGTACTGAGAATTGAAATTAGGGTGATCTCCCACTGAGCTACATTCGCAGCCCTTTTCTCTTTTTGAGACAGGGTCTGGATAAGTTTCTTAGGACCTGTTAAGTGCCTCTTCCATTACTTTCCCCATTTATTGATTGGGTTATTTGTTTGTGTGTGTGTGTGTGTTGAGTTTAATTCTTTAGAGATTAATGCTCTATCTAAGATGGCAAAGATTTTCTCCCATTCTGTAGGCTCTCTCTTCACATTCTTGATTGTTTTCTTTTAGTTTGCTACAATCCCATTTATTGATTCTTGATTTTCTTCTTGCACTTTAGAAGTCTTGTTAAGGAAATTGGTTTCTAACTGACATGATGGAGAGTTGGACCTACATTTTCTACTAATAGACACAGAGTCTCTGGTCTAATGCCTCAATCCTTGATCCACTTCAAGTTGAGTTTTACACAGGTGAGAGATAGTGGTTTAATTTCATTCTGCCACATATGAATTTCCAGTTTTCCCAGCACCATTTGGTGAAGAGGCCATCTTTTCTCCAATGTATGTTTATGGTGCCATTGTCTAGTATAATTGTATTTATGTGGATTTGTCTGTATCTTCTACTCTGTTTCATTAATTGGTCTTCGTGTCTGTTTTGGTGCCAATACCATGCCATTTTTTTTCAATAGCTCTGAAGTATAATCAAAGGTGATGCCTTCTGCTTCACTTTTCTCACTGAGAATTGCTTTGGCTATTCTGGGCCTCTTATTTTTCAAATAAATTTCATGACTGCTTTATCTATTTCTATTAAGAAAGTCATTGGAATTTTAATGGGAATTGCATTAAATCTGCATAGTGCTTTTGGTAGTACGGCCATTTTGACAATATTAATTCTGCCTATCAAAGAACATGGGAGATCTTTCCATCTTCTAAGGTCTTCTTTAATTTCTTTCTTTAGTGTTCTTTAGTTTTCATTGTAGAGGTCTTTCACTTCTTTTGTTAGATTGATTCCCAAGTATTTTTTTTTTTAGGCTACTCTGAATGGAATAGTTTTCCTAATTTCTCTTTTAGTTGATTCATCAATGGTGTATAGGAACACAATTAATTTGAGTGTTAATCTTATATCCTGCTAGCTTGCTGAATTTATTTATGAGTTCTAGAAGTTTTCTGGTGGAGTTTTTTTGATCTCCTATATATAGAATCATATCATCAGCAAATAGGGATAGTTTGAGTTCTTCTTTTCCTATTTGTATCCCTTTAATTACTTTCTTTTGTCTAATTGCTCTGGCTAGAGTTTCAAGGACTATGTTGAATAGAAGTGGTGAAAGAGCATTCCTATCTTGTTCCAGTTTGTAGAGGGAATGCTTTTAATTTTTCTCCATTTAGAATGATATTGGCCTTGGGTTTAACATATATAGTTTTTACAATGTTGAGCTATGTTCCCACTATCCCTAGTTTTTCTAGTGTTTTGAACACAAAAAGATATTGTATTTTGTCAAATGCTTTTTCTGCATCTATTGAAATAATCATATGATTCTTGTCTTTAAATCTCTTGATGTGATGAAATATGTTTGTTGATTTCTTTATGTTGAACCAACCTTGCATTTCTAGGATAAACCCCACTCGATCATGGTGCACCATCTTTTAAATATATTTTTGTATGCAATTTGCCAGCATTTTATTAATGTTCATCAGGAATATTGGTCTGAAATTTTCTTTCCTTGATGTGTCTTGTCTGGTTTTTGTATCAGGGTGATATTAGCTTCATAGAATGAATTTGGAAGGGTTCCCTCCTTTTCTATTTCATGGAATAATTTGAGGATGATTGGTGTTAATTTTTCTTTGAAGGTCTGGCAGAGAATCGTCTGGTACTGGACTTTCCTTTGTTGGTAGGCTTTTGATGATGTCTTTAATTTCATCGCTTGAAACTGACCTGTTTAAATTTTCTATGTCCTCCTGACTCAATGAGTAGATCATGTTTCCAGAAATTTGCCCATGTCTTCAAGATTTTCTATTCTATTATAGTATAAATTTTCAAAATAGTTTCTGATTCTCACGTTTCATTAGTGTCTCCAGTGATATTTCCTTTTTCATCATGAATTTTACTTTTTTCTTTCACTTGCTTCCCATGCATTGCTCATTCAGTAGCGTATTACTTAGTCTCCAGGTGTTAGAGTAGCTTTTATTTTTTTATCATTGATTTCTAATTTCTAAAATATAACTTTTAAAATCTAAATAAAAGTAGTATGTGATATGAGGGGGAGAAACCCAAAGATTCTTTTGTTTGTTAAATCTGTTATCTCAACACCATCTACTGACTTTTCCCTCATTGATTTGTGATGATTTATCACAGTCTGGTGTACAGTAGGTCCAATTTCTGTGTTAAGGTATTTCATAATTAAATTATAATCAATCTACTTATTTCCCAATAATCTTTATCCTTAACTTCCTTTGATTTCTGCAGTGAACCTTAAAATGACTCTATTTCCTTTCAGATCATGTTACTTCCAGAGCTGACAGGAAATTAAACACTACAATACTCATTTTATAAAGAAACTGTAGGCTAGATTACATGGCCTTAATTATGGTGATGGCCCTAGTTAAAGAAGAAATAGTAGTAGTAGTAACAAAGTGTTTTTCACCTATATCAGAAGATAATCTAAATCTAAATTACCATTTTTTCAAACAGCGTAAATTTCAGGGAATGGTATTTACTTATTAACTAAGGTATGGGGGCAAATGGCAGGAGTGGGGCTAACATGCAAATGCACCTTAGGAAATCTAAGGTAACAGGACAAAGTTCTATTTGCATAAGAACCAAGGTCTCCTTGGTAAAATAGTGACAAACCAGGAAAGTTAATAAAAACGAGTTCTACTCATAAAGTAGTGTTAAGGAGTGCCTTGGGATGAAAGGTGCTCAATTTGAGTTAGAATAGTTGAAAAATAAGCTGATCCTGAGATGAGAGTCTGCAACTGGTAAAGAATGGACTTGATATGGCACTCAATGATGCTATTCATTATCCCAGCCCAGTCTCTGGGGAGCATGTTCCTAGTCCTTGAATGGAAGGAACTATTAATAAATTCAAAGACTGAAGACTCCCGTGGGAAGGATGAAGGAAAGGTGGGGAGTGGGGAGGAACAGTAACAGCTGAGAACAGAGTTGACCAACAAGGAATTTTATTTACCAAGACAGATAAATGCTATTTGGTTTTGAGACAGGAACAGCATGGGAGAAAGATGATGCCATGGTCTTAGCAGTAATGGGGCCATCAGGGAAATAACAATAGCCAAAGCAGAAAGAACAAGAACAAAGGAAGCAAATCTCTGCAGAGTCTCCAATGGCAAGCTAGGTGAAGGTTCAGAGTCCAAAATTCTCTCATAATTCTATCATAAATACTTTTCAAGCCTGAATGGTCTCCAAAAGGATGTGGGACGAGGTCAAAGAGTTATGATTCTATTTTTAATAAGATAGACCCTCTCCTCAGGGGAAAGAAGTTGTTTCCTTTTATCTCCTCTCACTCCTATTTGCCTCCCTTCATTGTAGTATCTTGCTTGTGTGTAAGCTCTTTGAAGCATTTTTGATGTGAGTGCAACTTCTACATGTGGTAAGACATCTGTCCCATTCTGGAAAATGGTTTGGTACTGCATCTCAAAGGCCTTAAAAATGTTTAGAACTTTTGATCCAGCAATTCCTTTTCTAAGGAAATAATTCAGAAAACAAAGATTTAGGCACAAATATGTTTATTACAGAATATTTGTAATACTATACATAGGTATAACATTTAAGTATCCAACAACTGAGCAAAGGTTAAATAAATAATGGTATATTTATGCAGCCATGAAAAAAAATATGGTTTTAAAGAATCAGTTTAGAAATGTTATAAAACAATGTAGGACACAAAAAGCAGATAGCTGCGCTTTATATGTAATATAAGCTCTATTATATTATTTAAAACATAGGAAAAAACTAGATGAATGAATGTAAAAATATTAATGGTTGCCTCTGTATGGTGGGACCCAGGATTATAATTTATTTATCCTGTGCTTTTAAAAAAGTAACTTTTCATACTTTTTAAATTATTGTCAATTACATTGTTAAACATTTCATAGCCAGTAAAAAGACTCAAAAGGAAGTTAGCCATATGATCTCTGCTATTATCAGTTTTGAACCTCAAGGAAGTAGCTGGACTTGCTAGATGTAGGCTTAACTCTGCAAAGCTTTTTACTGCATCCCTCTAACTCTGCTTACAAGACTCTCTAGCTGTAGATTGCTGGCTATCCCACAAGAATAATACACCTAAGATGAAACAAACACACAGAAGCACAAAGCATCTTGCTTGGGAGGTTCCAGGATGGATGAAGGCAGATGAGCACAGAAAGAACTGATGAAAATGGCTAGAAGGAAGGAATGAAGTGTGGTTTTTCTGGGACATGAGATTCGGCTCCCCGAATTCAGAACTGCTCTTGGAAATGAAAGAAACTCAGAGCCATTGTCCTATTTAGAGCATCTCCAAGAAAGGGGTTCACTTTTTAGCCCTAGAGGAAAGTAATTGTTCTCTTGGGATGAGGCTTGGATTCCAGAATTTGAACCCCTGTTGCCAGAGTTAAGTAACTTGGATGGGAAGATGAGATAGACCATAAAGACAAACTAAGTCTTCAGAGTAGAATCTCTCAAATTTTAGTGGACTTGAGAATTACCAGGGAGATTATTTAAACTGCTGATTCTAACACCAGAAATTCTGATTTAATAGGTCTGGAGTAGGACCAAGAATACTGCAATTTTATCAAGGAACCCTCCGTAGCCAAGTCCATCTGATGCATAAGGCACAGCCTTGAAAATCGCTCAAATTGTAAGCAAAACACCGTGTGTGGGAATTTTTCTGGAGAAGGTCCATATCTATCATTAGATTTCAAGGAGTTGTATAATCCAAGAGGGCTTAAGAACTGTATTAACGGGCTGGGGTTGTTGCTTAGTGATAGAACGCTTGCTTAGCATGTGTGAGGCACTGGGTTCGATTCTCAGCACCACATACAAATAAATAAAAATAAAGGTCCATCAACAACTAAAAAATAAAAATTAAAAAAAAAGAACTGTATTAACAAGCAAAAGGTCAGAACTAAGGAGGCCTCATTCAAGCCATCATGTTGGAAGGGAAAAAGGAAAAGTAAAAACTACACACAAAACCAGCAGAGAGGAAGCCAGTGGGGTAGAGACTCATGAAGATGCACCTAGAAGATTTTCACCAGTAAGTCTGAAACGTTAATAGTTTATTTTCATTAGATAGAGGCAACTTTGTGCATTAGTGTATGTCCGTGTGCTTTAAAGGCACAGGGATCAGACAGATATTAGCTCGGGGAGAAATTAATAGAAGGAAGGTCAGTGGATTTTTCTAGTTGGAAAACTCCAAGGTTGTAGAGAAAAGGGAAAATGGTTAACTCTGGGGGTCTTACAGTCTGGAGTTTAAGCTGCTGTTAGAAGGTAGAGTACTGTTAAATACATGTGTGTGGTGTGTGGTATGTGGTGTGTGGATGGGATGCTACTAAAATTGAAACAGGAGCAACTGATAGAAGTGGTTACTGTGAGCCAGACAACTGGTGTTATTCCCTACCCCATGGTGCCCAAAAGATTAGAAAGGAGATTCTGCTCCTGACACTGCAACTGCAGCAAGGGGTTGGCGAGTTGTGGTGCTCTGCCAATAGCAGGATAGAAGAGGGAGCTCTGTTCCAGCCCATACCCCAGTATGTGCTCAGAGTGGTTCCATCTGTTATTACTGAAAAGTGAGCATATTATCATACCCTCTTTATTGTCCTTTCAGGGATTGTGGTCTGGGAAATGACTACTACAATTATCACTAAAGATCTATCTCCCTGACCAAATCTCCATTAGCTAAATTCCCCTTAAATTTCTCATTCATTTGAGGTATTGCAATAGCCTCATGGTTGATTTCCCTGTGTTCTGCACTTCCATTCTAAAATCTTCTGCACTATAACTCAAACTATTGCCTTTAAACTGTTCCCTCAATGGCTATAGAAAAAAAATTAATTTCTCCAGAATCCTGTTTTTAAATGAAATATTACCCAGAAGTCACATTTTATAAAAGTTAGAAGCAAACCTGTTCTTGTTAAAAATGTGACCCAGTGTCCCCTCTGTTGAGCTCCTCTCATGCCATCCTTGTGGCTAATCCAGAAGACCCACCACAGATTTCTGGGTCTCAGGTGGTCAGAAATCCATTTGCCTTCCTATGGCAGTAAAAGAACTTCATAACCCAAGCATCACCTAGGCTGCCACTGGCCCCCTGTCAACCCTACTTTCTGCTGCTCCCTAGGTCCCCGTGTGCCTCAGCCACATGGAACTATTAGTTCTCAAATTTACCATTAAAAAAAAACACTTTTTATTACAGAGCTTCTCAACTCTACATAAAAATCAAATAGAACACTATAATGAACCTCCATATACCCATAACCCAGCTTCAATTACCAACTCAAAGCCAACCATGTTTCATTTACGTCCCTGTCCACTCTTTCCCACACTACTTAGAAGCAAATTTTCTCATCATGACATTTCATCTATTAAAATTTCAGCATATTGCTCAAATTTGCAAGAAGTCATTATAATCTACAATATCACCATCACATCTAAAAAAAAGAATCATCCCTTTGTAACATCAAATATCTGGGATTTAAAGATTAATTGTCTCCAATTATCTTATAAAATGTCATCTATATATCATGATCCAAGTAAAACCCATGCATTGAGATCAATGTCTTTTAATCTACAGGACTCCCTCCATTTTTTTTCTTATAATTAATTTATTAAGGGACTTGGTTATTTATTTTGCAATGCCCCCACACCATTTAGCTAATGACATTCATTGGTGTAGTTCAATATTTTCCCTATCCTTTGATTTTCCTATAAAACAGTAGTTGAATCTAGAGGCTTTTCTCTCTAATGGTTCTAGGGATAGAACTTGGGGCACTCACTCTACCACTGAGCCACACCCCCAGTCCTATTTTTTTTTCTTTTACCTACTTTACAAGTTGTGTCTTGTGACACATGTTAGTAGCTATTGGTACTTGATGCCAAGACCTGTTTATTAAGGACTGCAAAATGGTGATATTTTATTTTAATCACTTATTAGATGAAATGTGTCTACAAAGAGAAGGTTCCCTTGTCTATTTGGATACCTACTAAACATATTCTCTTCATACCTCTGTTCTTTTGCACATTATTCCATTTGACTTTAATGGTTTTGCATATTCTCGAATGGGCAGAATCCTGATTATCCTTTAAAACTAATCAAATATCACCTCAAGGAAGCTTGCCTCTCTCCAGCAGAGTTCACCTCTCTTCTAAATGTGAAAAATGTTCACTATAATAATACTTAACTCATTAATTTATTAATTTACAGCCTCTGTCCCTGGAATTGGTACTTAAAAGCAGGAAGCACCCTAAGCTCTAGGATCTGTATGAAGTAGTTTAATAATGAAATAACTAAAGGAGTAAGGATTTTATTTAAAAGTCATTTCAGCAAGGCATGGGACACACACCTTTAATCCCAGTGACTTGGAAGCCTGAGGGACGAAGATTGAAAGGTCGAGGCCAGCCTCAGCAATTTAGCAAGATCCTATCTCAAAATAAAAAGGGATGGAGATTTAGCTCATTGGTATGCATTCCTGGGTTCAATCCCCAGTATTGTCAAAAAAAAAACAAAAAAACACCAATTTCATGTGACACTATGAAGGATGTGCCTTATAAAGCAACTGGCAATGAGGTACCATTACTAGAATGAGTTAGAGTTCAAAGGTGGGGTCAGATCTGAGTTACCAAGCATCTACAGTCAGACATTAATCAGGTTCAGCATGAGCTTTGGGGGCCTGGCTTCTCAAAAGTAAAAAGAAGACATGATGAGAATCAAATTGAGCCAGGTTTCCTCCTAGGAATTTCCCTCTAAAACAAGCTAGAAGCAGGTTGTAGACTTCAAATGACTGGATTTAAAAAAACCAAAATCAGACTCAGTGGTACAGCACTTGCCTACTATGGATGTACAGGGGGGGAAAAAAGTTATATAAGCTCTTATAAAATAAACCAATTTTTTTTTGTTTTGTTTAAGTCAGGTTTGGGTTTTTGTGTTGGCTTCAGTGGTGGCAATCAACTTTGTTTTGGAAGTGCTGGGCCTCACACATGCTAAGCATTCACTCTATTACTGAGCTACATCCCCAGCATTTAAACGAAAAATTTAAAAAATAATAAATGTACAAGGTAGGTTAGGGTTGGGGTACAAATTGTAGGTGCATGCTCTCTTGCTGGAGGTGGACTCCTGGCTGGGGGCCAGCTCTGCCATCAGAGGGCATCTCTTCTATTCATGTTGGCTACCATGACTGCTGTGTTGCGAACCTACTATTCTCTGTGCTCGATGTTGTACTTGCAATACAGCGGAGAGCTACGGTGTAAGGACAAGCCTCCAACCTGCACTGTTCCCTTTGAACCCTGAAAGTCTGGGTTCATGTGGCAATAGTTCTGTTGCAATCAGGGTATGCAAAAGGATAAAAAACAGGAGAGGAAAGATTAAAAGGGATGTGGGTTCCCAGGCCAGTCTTGCCAGTCCTCCAGGATGCTTATCTTGAGTGTGCTAGGAATCTGTTCTGCAGGGACAGATGGAGGATAGACTTCACATTAAGTGGCATCCTATCAGCCACAGGGTGAACCTACTGGCTATGCTTACCACTCTTGGACAAAATTCAACAGGAAAACATAAACAGAGACATAATTTTAGATAGGCTGCTAGGTAGTACAGGTCTGGAGTGATAGCAACTAGAGACTTAGTTGAAGAATTAGAAAAGACATACAAAGGTCAAGGAACAAGCAAGAGAGAAATAGAATAGGATTAGATAGGACAGTCAGGCACAGGCCCAATAGTAGGAAGAAAATGAGCTATTGTCCATTTGGCCCAATGATGAAGTGGTCCTTGGGAAAGACTGAACCTTAGTTTTATACCAAAGGAAAGGAGAACTAAATGAAAGTTTTAAGTCATGCCCTCTAGGGTTCCAGGGGACAGAGCAAGATCCAAAAACTGTAGCAAGATTGCAAGAAAAATGAACATATCTAAAGATGAAACCTATCAAACCAAACCATACTGTTTTGCTGCTAGTGCATCTCTTTGCACTGGAAAGCCACAGAGTTTCCTTTAAAGAAAAAAAAAAGAAAAGAAAGAAAAAGGAAGGAAGGAAGGAAAGAAAGAGAGAGAGGGAGGGAGGGAGGGAGGGAGGGAGGGAGGAAGGAAGGAAGGAAGGAAGGAAGGAAGGAAGGAAATGTTTTAAACCAGTCAATTCCTTAGTTTTTCAGGATCATCTTTCCCTTCTTTAATATTTACATACCACCAGGGTTCAAAGCTAAACTTTCTGCTCTTCTCACACTAATGCGCCCCAGCAGCTCAAATACTCCCATTGTTTGAAGCATAGTCTGTGCCAAATCTACATCCAGAATTCAGCCTTCTCCTGTGCTTCAGCTCTACAGAGGTAAGTGCTCTTTGCATTTGTCCACTTCAATGTCCCTCTATCACCTCAAACTCTTTACTTGTAACTCATCCTAACCCCTCCTTCCACTTGTTTCATCAGTGGCAGATACCAGCCAGACACCAGGTTTCATCTTTAATCCTCCATAATGCCTCACCCTATGTTCAGCATCTGAAACCATCTATATTAGTAATTTAAAAACAAAGAATTTAGAATTAAATCAGTTCAAAGTCTGACCTTTGCCACTGAGTGTAACCTAAGGCAAGTTACTTAACTTCTTTAAGATTTCATTTCTTCATGTGTAAAATGAGAATAAAATGATAATTGTGCAAGAATGAAGCAGGGATCATACCCATGAAGACATTAGCACAAAGATTAGCCAAAAAATATTTGCTATTATATGTCATGTATTTCCCCTCCATACAAGTTGATGTGAAGATTAAATGTCAGTATACTGAAAGTATGCAAAGTAATGTCTTACAAACAGTAAGCATTAAATATTGGCTACTACATTATTGCTGCATAAATTTGAAATTAATGAACTCTTTTCTCTACACTATGGTCTAGCCAAAACCTCCATTATGTCTCATCTAAGATCATGCAGCTTCCTCTAACTGGTCATTCAATCTTTTGCCCTGCATACTACTCTCTAGTTAGTGATTTAGTGATTTCATTGCTTAAAATACTGCCCTCAGTGGGGCTGGGGATGTAGCTTAGTGGTAGAGTGCTCACCTAGCATGGGAGCAAGACCCTGGGTTTGATCTCCAATACACGCCCCCAAAAGTGTCAGTTTTGCCAGACGAGGTGGTGCAAACCTGTCCTCCCAGCAACTTGGGAGGCTGAAGCAAGAGAATCGCAAGTTCTGGGCCAGCCTTAGCAACTTAGTGAGGCCCTAAGCATTTTAGCAAGACCCTACTTCAAAAACAAAAAATGAAAAGGGCTGGGGATGTGTCTCAGTGGTAAAGCACCCCTGGGTTAAATCCCTGATACCAAAAAAAAAAAAAAAAAAGAAAAACCCTCTGCACTCAGGGAAATTTACTACAAGCTCCTTGAGAATAAGGCTTTGTGGTCACTACAACATTGCTTACTAGTATAGAGCCTATCATATAACTAGGTACTTAACAAATGTTTATATATATATAAATAAATATATTTCTTCTTTCATTCCTCTAAATCTTTTCTTCTCTCTCATGGGCTTTGCCATGAAGATTATGTTTTTTATCTCCCAAGAATTCCGACATTCACAAAAAAAAAAAAAAAAAAGAATTCCGACATTCAGAAAATCCTTGTTATCTTGTGAGGAAGTCTTTTCTCATCCTGTTCAGAAAAGCCTATGTGATCACCAGACTTAACAGACGCTTCCACCCTGGGGTGCCACTAGCAGTCTCTAAGGCCTTCCTTAACTTTAATTTCTGCAACGATCACTCTGAAAGGTCAGCATCTAGAACAGGGCCTGGACCAAAGAGGTCAAAGTACCCATCAAATAACTAAAGCTCCTTTCCCTAATCCAGGGGTTGGACATGTACACTAGTTGCTTGTTATTTTTGGTAGCCCGGAAATCATCCCTGAAGTAGTTAGACAAAATAAATTATGTACATACAAAAGAGAAAAGTACCTGATAAATACAATAATAATAAATAATATACTTAGTATGTGCCAGGTACTATTTTAAGTACAATTACATTAATTATCTCATTTGATCTTTACAATGTGTAGGAATTAGTCCCATGATAAGAAGCACTAAAAGCTTAAGAAACCTGCCAAAGTTTTAAGTACCAGAATAAGAACTTGAATTCAGCCAGTCTGGTTCCATACCCTGAGCTTAGTACTGAGTAGTTTTATATACATTAACATTCTGAATCATCTCAAAATATCTGGACCTAGGTTTCAGACACACTAACTCCAATAAAGAGAAAAGAAAGAATGAAAGCATTAGGCTTTTGAATAAGGTATTAGGTAGCATATCTTGATCACATATAAAATCTATGCTTTGCATTGTAAATATGCTTTAAGTGAATCATAGAGAAATATCTATTGCAAATATATTGCATGGTGATGTACCAGCAATAATCCAAAATTTCAATTAATGTTCCTGAGAAAGCTCTTCTTGGAGTAGAGGAAATGACTAATGATGCAGAGATGAGCTTGAACAATCCAATGATACCTCTGACCCCTTCTAAAGCCAGCAGTCTCTAAAATAAGGCATAGGTCCATCACATCAAAGGGCAATCTCCAGCTTTGGCTAGCCCTACTTTGGATAAAGCCCTATTAGAATGAGGGAGGTTACTCAGACTTTGCACTCAATGATTGTGATTTATGAGTCAGCAAGGTGTAAAAGTATTCTGTCCTGCTCTTCTGTCTTTAAGCCAGGCTGACCAACTCACACAGCAGCCAACAAACTTTTATTTAAATTATAAACTTTTCCTTTATGGAAACTGTCTTGGGCCTGCTTATGTCTATTTTTGCTCTTTCTTCACTGTTCCTTTCTGGATGCATCTCCTTCACTTGCTACAAGTTAACCCCAGCACAGTGATTCAGAAGTAGATACTTCACCACCACCTGTGACCACAGCCCTGGGAGCTCAGCTTGTTCTACTGGATAAATCACCAGTTCCAATTCTCCCTACCTTCCCTATGCCTTCTTCTCTCTCTACTTCTTTAGAAGTTACATGCTCTATGTCTGTTTTTTTAGTGGTTATTATAACTAATATGTACATTAGTTTCACAAAAGTCTTGATCAGTGGGTTTAATCCCTAGGACTACCAAAAAAAGTCTTGATCAGTTTCTTTACTTTCCTCCTGAATATAAGAAACTAAAAGGGAGTTCTCATCACCCTTTCAACTTGCACATCACTGTTGTCCAGTAATATGTAACAAATTACACACTGCTTTTATGCAAGCAATAACCTTATGTTTTTAAGGTTAAGACTTACTTTTACTAATATTTACCTATCTTTGTTCAGTGTACCTTCTTGCACTCATTCACCATTGGAGATCATTTTCCTTCCTCCTCTTTTGTGAGTGGAAAGTGATTGTCTTAAATGTTTTTAATAGCCCTGCAATAGGCAGTTTTGCTAATTTTTTTTTTCTTAACATGAATGGAGACACTACTGCAGTGTTTTCTGACTTACAATGTTGTTGAAGTTATCCACCTCAGCTGTTTTCTACAGATAGCCTGTATTACTCTCTCCAGCTGCCTGAACTCTAACTTTTCTGCATCTTACCTTGATGCCTCTAGATGAGTTGCTTTTTTATCTTGCTTGAGATTCACTGGCCTTCCCCAATTTGAGGTTTGGTGACTTTCATCAAATCTGAAAAATTTATGAGCCATTATCGCTTTGAATGTTATCTCCTCCTGAAGCTCCAAATATTGTACATTAGATCTTATCACTCTATCATCCATTCCTCAAATTCATATTTTCTATTCTTCTTGTCTTTCTCCTTATCTGGGGTGCATTCTGGACAATTTTTTGAAAACTTCCAATTCACTAATACACCTTCAATTTGTCTCATCTGTTTAATCCATCTATCTTTATTTCAATTTTCATTTTTATCTCATCCTCTCCACCCCCATCATCTGCTGAACTTTTAAATCTTCCAAACCTGTTTTAGCTCATTAATCAAGGTATTTTGTTATGGTCTGTGACAGTGCCAATATGTGAACTATTTAAGGATTAGCTTCTATGTCCTCATTTTCATTCATATTGCCTTATTCCATTGTATATTTTGGAATTTTTTAGCAAGGTTGCTCATTTTCCTTATAAGTCTATCTATGGAGATTGCTTTGGAGCCCTTAAAGGAGTTGCACTGGCTTCTGGAAATCACCTGGAGGCTGGCCAACTGTTACCACTTTAAATTTTCCACTTAGAAGTTTCTGGACCACAAAGGTAGCCTAAATTTTTTGAACTAAAAACCCAAAGAGGAACATTATAGTTAGGAATTGTCAAGGAAGATACTCCATGTATTTTTTTCTTCTATCTCACTACAAAGTTAAGACAAATAATCTTTGCTATCCCATTCTATCGAGTCTGTTTCTAACCTTTATATTGAGGAGGATGTCCAGCTTTATGTGGGAACCTGCTTTCCCATATTCTGTAGAAGCTGAAGTCTTGTTGAGTTTGGCAACAACTCTAAGTAAAAACTGGTTTTAGTAGTTATTTCTTAGGATACCAGCTTTGGCTTTGTTCTGAAAACTGGGTTTCTTACTTTTGTGCCCACTCAGCAATGTGTTTAAAGGTATTTTTTACAAATCTATTTACCAAGCATTTAGTTGCTTCTGCTAAAGGGCTTTTCAGGGTATTGAAATCACCATAGCACCAAAAACAAAAGCCTGAATTAGTTCCAAATACACATACCACATTCGTCCTGTTCCTGTTTTTGGCGGAGGGAATACTGAGGGTTTAACTCAGGGGTGCTCCACCACTGAGCTAAATCCCTAGCCCTTTCTTTTTTGAGAGAGAGGGTCTCACTGAATTGCTGAGGATGCCCTGTAACTTGTGATCCTCCTGCCTCGTGCTCCTAAATTGCTGGGATTACAGGATGCAACACCTTGCTGGGCTTCTTCGCCCCCTCATTCTGACAAGAGTTGCAAAAAGACCAATGTCATGCCTAAAAAAGGAATTAAGACAAAGAGTGAATAAGAAGCAACTGGGACAAGACCAGATACTTCATATTTTTTGTTCTTTTCCTCAGGCACAAATGTCTGTGGCATTCAGACTATTTGTCCACTAGCATTTAGAGATATTGGGGAAAGACAAAAAGGTAGAAATCCCTTTATGCCCTTGAGCTTGTCCTTTTTCACAATGAACATGGAGACATCTACTCAGGTTTTTAAAAGGGAGGGATAGGGATATAGCTAGGGATATAGCTCAGTTGGTAGAGTGCTTGCCTCACATGCACAAGGCCCTGGGTGTGATCCCTAGCACCACCAAAAAAAAAAAAGGGGGGGGGGCCTAATTGCTTGCAAATCACTTATAACTCTTACAATTATAGCAACAAGCATCATGATCTTGAGGCTCAATTCATTCATGGACAGCTGGCCCTGATCATTTCATTCTATGTAAAAGAACAACATAAGTAGGTTATAATGATGCAGGCAGTTCAAAATTATTATTTTCATTGCTGTCTTACATACTTCCTCTAGCCTTTTCTCTATCCATGTCTGACCCAAATTTCTGGAACAGCTAAAGAACTGGTGCTTTAAGTGACACAGAACAAGAAAGTCAGGGGGTCCAAGTTAAATGGAAAAAATTTGCTGCTAGCAATATCCTGTTTCTTAAATTTTTGTGCTTTCTCAAGGTAGATTCTCTCTGGACTAATTAAAATTTCCAGACCTGGCCTCTCTGTCTTTGGACAATGAGACCACTTATTCCCCAGCTGAAGTAACCTTCATAGTGAGAAGTGATGCATCAGTAACTTAAGGAAATTCTGTATTCTAGGGAGCAGCATATCCTGGGCAGGGTTCCCCTCTCAGCAGCCTAGACATTACCTACATGACATGATTTGCATGTATAAGGAATTTCTTCTATCCAGATGCAACATGAGTAGCCTTTCACTATTACCCCCAAATACTATGCAAGCAATTCCTTTGAAATAGACATTATTTCCTCTATGAATTCTCTCAATGTCATTATCATCACACTGCAGTATCTATATCCACCATGAAATGTTACTGCCAAGGGTATTGGAGCCAATCATTCTGGGCTCCACTTTGAAGCTTTACAGTGACTAGATCAGAGTCTTAAATTATAGTTAATTCAGGGGTTGGGGTTGTGACTCAGTGGTAGACTTGTTTTACACGTGTGAAGCACTGGGTTCAATCCTCAGCACCACATAAAAATAAATAAATAAACAAAGATTTTGTGTCCATCTACAACTAAAAATATATATATATATTATAGTTAATTCAGGCACAATAGGCTAAGGCAGGGAGATCACAAGTTCAAGGCCAGCCTGGGAAACTTAGCAAGACTCTATCTCAAAATATAAAGGGCTGAGGATGTGGCTTAGTGGTAGAATATCCCTGATAAAACATCACCAAAAAAAAAAAAAAGTTACAGTTAACTGACCACATACATCCAAATAACCTGGGTGTCTTACCAAGATTTCAGATTCCCAAGTCCCATCTATTGAATCAATTTCTGAAATGGAACATGGGAATCTGATGTGCTGCTGGGGATCAGACAGAGGGCCTTGTGCATACTAAGGCAAACACTCTTAACACTGAGCTATACCCAGCCCCTGGAATCTGCATTTTCCATAAATAGCCCTCGTGATTCTTATGTACTTGCTCAGGTATAAAAGCTAGGACCAGTTATCTGTAACTCTATGAAAGTACCGAGAACCTTTACAAAATGAGAAAGAATGATAGAAAGACTGGTCTTAAGTTCTTCCCAGGTTAGATGTTTACAGCTCACAGCAAAACACCTTAATTTAGCAAGAAAGAACACATGACCAAGGGAGTTCACAGCTTTGAGCTGTCAGAAAGTATGCCACAGTAATATTCATTAGAGGTAGCTATCTCACAAACATCTTTTAAAAAAAAAAAAAAGCAGAAAGTGTTAACCATAATTGTTAACCACTTCTAGAACAATTCTTAGGCTTTAAAGGATCTGAAAATACGTTGGCAAATCTTGACAAAATCCAAAGGTTCCTAAAGTTGGTTTAAGAGATACCAAGAGGCTTCAGAAGCATTACTGTCAAGAAACTTAGAATTTATAGGGCTTTCAGATCATTCTATTAACAACCCATTTTAGATAAGGGCTTTTAAAAAATAAATAAATAGATAGATAGATAGATAATAGGTCTTAGCTATATAGGGTTCTCATGGATTATAATCTATGAGAAAGGACCCATCTGTTTTATTCTCTAATCTGAATTTAATCTCTACAATGTTTAGCATAGTATTTACTGAATGAGATAAAACAAATGGACCAATCCCAGAGTAAGGTTTGTATTGAGTTCAGTGCTGGTGAATAATAAAGAATGAATCAGGGAAATACGGCTATTGACCAGTAGCCAGATTTTTCTACATAGATAAAAAAAACTTCTTTGGAAAGCAAATTCTAATAGCATTTTGGCTTTGTGCTTTATCCTTCAAGTCAAAATTAGAATTGTCAGACAACCATCTAGACTTAATAGATACACTACAGTGCTGAGATTTCCTGGTCTCACTAGCCCAACAGTTTTTACACCCAACAAAATGAGACAGGACCATCTCAGGAGCCAGCTATATAATTTTAATCTAAAAATTTGGGCATACAGAAAGCATTTTACATAAATTCTCTTGATATTTTTAAGTTATATGACAGGACATAAGGTCTTCAGAAAAATAAAGTCTCTTCCCATAGATCTTAATCCTTGTCATCTGCATGCAGTTAAGTAAAAATCCCTGGTAATCCAACAAGTATCTGCTACCCCAAACAACATTATTTGGTAGGACACCTGATTTTGGGTAGGATGTTATGTTAAACAACTAGCCCAGTCTGCTACATATAGCCTGAGAAGCAAAATAATGGGCCAGTGATCAGTACCTACATACGTGCGCCTTTTAAATCTATATTTTCGTATTTACTAGGATGGTAGTTGGGGTTGCTAGCTTCTAATCTACTCAAAATGATATGTTCAAGAGGGCCATGTACTGCAGGTGGCTTTATTCAATGTTAGTTTTGTTAAATAATGCGCCAGAATCCCAGTGACCAAGGAAGCTATTAACTCGTTATACTTCAGTTTCCTAAATCAACAATATGCTCCCCATGCTCTTCTTCAGCCACATTGAATTTTTAAGAATCTTTAAAGGAAAAAAAATTGCTTCACATATAATTAAAAAGAATGTTCTTGGTAAGAGTTGGAACTAAGCTCAAAATAAATTCATCTTGGTATAACCTCCTTCTGGTTGCTCTGTAAAGAAAAAGAACACGGATACTTAAGAAAATAGCCAAGATGGAAAGGAGGGAAGAAATGCAGCTCGAAGTGAAGAAATGACACAGACCTCCCACATACACACTTTAAAAACTTTATTCATATAAAAAATTCATTTGTTTTTAAAAGCATTAACAAGAGAGAAAGAAAAAGAAAAAGGTATGGAGCAGAAGACATTTGCCCCTTAGTAGTTTCGGTGGGAAGGTGGGATTTTTGGTTGTCTGGAATTGAATGTTTAGTGTTTTTATAAATGAAAGAGAAAAAAATATATAGTTAAAAGGTCCCCAAAAGCCCATGGCTATTCTATTACCCACACCCCACCGAGAAAAAAGAGCACCAGGAAGAGCAGAGGAGGACAAGAGAAACCAAGAGTGGAGCCAGGTCTGGATGGGGAAATTCCCCTGTGCAGTGTGCTCTGAGGGTCACAGAGAACAAAAGGTTCCTTTTTTTCAGAAAAGGTGGATGAGAGTGGGAAGAAATAGGAGGAAGGAAGGTAAATAAGGAATTTTAATGCATAGGGAAAGGGGTTGGTGGGTTGTGCACTTTTCTCCTACCCCATAGCCTCAATATATAAGGGAAGGGGAAGAGAGGGAATAAGAATTCCAGTTGCATTGAACAGAGTTTTTAGATTAAGGAAAGTAGAAAGCAAATAAGGAAAAGGGTTTAAAAAAAAAAAAAAATCAACCCACGTAGCAGCTGATTTCTTTAGCCCAACCTGCTAATATACACTAAAAGTGAGAGGGGCATATTGCAGGGAAGGGAGAATTAGGGAGAAACCTTGTTTTCACTATAATCCCTTCAGAGATTATGGTATATCCTGGACAACTAAGGAGTAAGAGTCGCACCACTCACCCCTACCAATCTTGCTTTGAGATCCATCAAGATGAGATTTTTACAAAATCCCAATTACATGCTATTGAGCAAAAACCTGCTGTGGCTAAAATCAGAGGCTACGCCAATCCCCAGAATCTTGAGGCTCTCTAGGTCACCTCTCCTCTTCTTTCTGCTATTGAGGGCTAATAGTGGGTAAGAAAGCAACAAAATAGAACTTGCAAAATCATGAGAAATGAGACTGCAGAGGCAAAGAAAGGCACATGAAAGGGAAGGAGGAGATGTACCCCAGGCCAAAGGCACAAAGAAGAGGCAAAGCCAGGGGCAATCCTCACCTTATAAGGGTAAAGGGGACAGGAGTTATGTACATCAAGTCCTACAGTTGGCCAACCAATCCAGATAGGAGGCAGGGGAGGACAGGCCTATAGGGTAGGAATAGGAGAAATGGGGTAGGGGTTGGGGGAAGCCAGATTTGAAGCTTCCTGCCAGTTTCAGACTAACCACCTCATGTACATTCCTTCTAGCTCCTCCTAGAGGTTCCTCTTCTTTTCATAAGACATCTTTCTGCTCCTTCTCAACCAGAAAGTCTTCCTTGACATTCTCCTCTTTATACAGCTTCTTGCAAATGGCCAGGACAAGTCAGCAGACTTATCACAGGGTGGGAGAGGAGGTTAAGGACAGCCTCAGTAAGGGGCAGCAGCAGCCCAGGGTTGGCATGAGGCTTACAGAAGAGATGGAGTCGGTAGGTCCTTGATGGCCCCTACCTCGGAGGTGAGGAGAGAAGGACTCTCAATCCCAGTTTTAGAAGGCCTTCACTTAATCGAGGGCCCCTGCCAAGTGGAATGTACCACTGCTGCCAGCCTTCTTTGCTTCATAAATAGCCACTGGAATAAGAGAAGAGCTCGTGCTTCCCATTCTCCAAAAGAAAATTAAAAAGTCCCTTGCCCACCAGGAAAAATAATCTTGATTAAGAATCATCAGTATAGCAGGATGCTGGACATTACATATACAGAATGTTAACTTCCAATTCTTCCCATGGCTTCCAGTGAAGATTCCCACTCTCTCCCTCCCTACATACAAGGCCAAAGTTCCAGGGAGAGCTGGCAAAAAGAGCTAATCTGCAGCATTCTCAAGATATGCAAATAACTGAGTCAGGTTTCTTGGGAGAAACAGGAGGGATTGAGGGGGTGGGGTGAGACAATTAAATTTCACTGGAAGAAGTTGAGTTGATGGAATGAAGGCAGCTGCTTTGGGCTACAAGGGCAGGAGGCAGCCTGGCAGTTGGCACAATAGTCCAGCGAAGAGAGGGAAAAATCATCAGTCCATTTCACCACCAAAAAATAAAAGTACATATATTATAAGCCCAGGTGGAGTAGAGATAGTGGTGCTAAATCTTCTGCTGTGGGGAAAAAAAGAAAAAGATGTTAATAGGGTTGGAAATAAGAAAACCTGAAAAAAGACAATCGAGCAAGTCTGGAAGAAGGAAAGCAGCACAAAATGGAGAATCAGATCACCATCTGCACATCCCAGGCTCTTAGGAGGTAATAATCACAAAAGCAGAAGTCCCCAGGCACCACATAGCTGAGACCAGAGTCTCTGCCTGATCACATCAGCAAGATTGGCAAACTGCTGGCACACAGGAACCTCCTTCCTCAAGGACAATCTTGGGGATGACTGGAGGACATACCATGGTGGGGTAAGACACTTGGTCCCCCTTATCATCCAAAACCAACTCATCCAACTCTTCCTCCAGAGATTCCTGCCCCTCGTCCTGCTGTGAACACATGCAATTTGTTAGTATGAGAGTAAAGATAAAAACTTCATGAGAGTGTGCCAGACCTAAAGAATATTCCAAAATGTATAAATTCAAACAAACAAGGTAATAGTAAAAGAAGGACAAAACATTCATAACAGGCAGGTACAGAAAGGGTGATGTGTGAGAACAGATCAGTTAGTATTAGTAGTCATCAGTACCACCTTTATAGACTTTCTTCCCCAAACTCAACCAATGAAGAACAATGGCCCAAGGAATCCCAAGATGAGTCAAAACCCCTATTTTTTCCTTGAAACTCCTACCCAAAAAAAGATGCTAATTTTCTTTGTACTTTTTTTTTTCTATTTCATGAAATGTTCAAGCTTCAAAACAGAATTAGCCTTAGACAGACAACAGTAAACAGAGGATTTACCATCAAGGGTGTTCCCTTCAATGGCTCCATATCTCCCAGATCCCCAGATCGATCCAGTGTTCTGTTGTGGTCCCCTCTCTCATTCAGTGTGGAATAGTTGTTATCTAGTGAAAAAAGTACACAGAAACATGATATTCCCCTCTAGATATGCAATATATATCAAACAGGAAAGTGTGAATTAGGCAGCCCTATTAGGAAATGTCCTGTGCCAAATGATTCTGAAACACGTTAAACTCTGATGGTCCTAGACTTAAAAGGAACTTGAATATAATGGGGAAGTTAATATATATATATGAAATACCCAGAGTATGACAAATGATAATAAGGCTAAACTAAAGAAATCTGTCTAGACAAGAGTACTGAGATTAAGAGGAAAAAGAGTGGCGTATACTGTAATAGAAAAGACCTGACAGACAAGAGAACAGAGCTTAAGTTAAGTCTTTGAGGATGAAGAGAATTTAGAAAAGCAAATGGGAAGGGCAATCCTGAATTAGGTATGACATCAGCAAAATATGGAGAAAAAAAAGAATGAAAAGATAGAGCAGTAAAGTAGACCAGGTAGGTTGGAAGAGAGTGCATGGAGAGAAGACAGCGACCTCAGAGACTGGAGTCTAACTAAGTCAAGGGATACAAACTTGATTCTGTAGTAACCAGGGAACCATACAAAGATTTTCTGAAAACTTCTGAGTAAGTGGAATGTGGAAAAAGTAGATGGATAAAGTTTTACTAAATGTCCTCATATCCTTCCAAATGGAAACAGAAACAATCAGCCAATGTTTTTATAGGATGATAAATGGTGAGGGTGTAAGAAAACACTACAAGCTGGACATCTCTCCTCATCCCAGTGAAATACTCCACAACCTTAGGCAGGAATTAACCACCTACCTAGTAATTTTGTGTTTGATCCCATATTGCTCATTTGAATTTCTTCCCGATCAGGTTTCTTATCTACATGGAGTCAGAAAGTTATCCAGGTCAAAAACCAACTCTTCAAAATCTACATATATCATAAATTACTCTCTTGGTCTATCCTTCTTCCTTTCCAACAGACTTTAAATATAAGACACAATTCAATCTAAGCTAGCAGTTTTTTCAATTACTTGGTCTTAAGGTCTCTCTTTTGTAGTCTTAAAAAAATTGAGTCCTAAAACATTATGAGGATCCAAAGAATTTTCATTGGTGTGGGTTATGTATATGAATATTTATGGTACTGAGAATTTTTAAAATGTCTATTTCATTTGAAAAAATGAGTCACTACATGTTACCGCCCCCCCCCCCCACAGTACTGGGGACCATACCCAGGGACTAACACATGCTAGGCAAATGCTCTGCCACTGAGCTTTGCCTCTAGTCCTCTTTTATTTTAAAAGGGTGTCTCTAAATTACTTAAGCTGTCCTTGAAATTGGGAACCTCCTGCTTCAGTCTCCCCAGAGGCTGGGATTATAGGAATGCACTACTACACACACCTACAAATATTTTTAATTAAAAAAAAAAAATCATTGTTTTACTTTTGTGTATCTCTTCAAAGTTTGGCTTAATAAAAGGGAAATGGATTCTCATATCTTTTTCTACATTCAATCTGTTATGTAGTTACTCTGGTTAAGGTTTATTGAAGAAAATCTAGCCTCACATAGATAAGAAGTCAAGAAAGGAAGGAAAACTTTAATAGTCTTTTTAGATAACTGTGAACATTTTTCCTTGATAGTGTATGAATATTCAGTAAGTAGTAGTTTCTTAAAGTAATGTGGAATATGAAATCAAACTAACAATCCCTTCATATTCTATTAAACTAAAATTATTGGCCTGTCATGTACTTGGAATGTATCAATTACCCATGCATGATTTTAAAGCATCATGGCGCCAGTTCCTTGCAAAATACAAGTTCACAGACCTTCATAAATGTTCCAAGTATTAATACTATTTATACATCTATATCTCTCTATCTATCCTATCTTTGGATAGACAGACTGAAAGGCACATTCCTTAATATCACCAAAGATATCAGTAGAAAAGTATTGGGAAATTACCAGGCTCACAGAGACCGATACATGTTTTTCAGAGTTATAATCTTCAAAGTTCAGGCACCAAATACTGTCAGTTAAGTGACAAGGTCACTGCATTCCATTTTAAAGAAATGTGTGCCAAATATCTATGTCTAATTACAATCTGTTGGCCAATTATTTCAAGTAAAACGGTGTTCCATAAAAAAGTAGCTAGTCCAACTAGTAACTCCAACAACAGTACAACTGCTTTGCCTCAAGACAAATGTCTTTTTTTGTGTTTGCAGGGATTGAATTTCATTCTTTGCAGCAGAAATGCTTTGTATATACACTATTTCATCAGCACAGAATATTTAAAAGATGTGTATTCAAGGGTAGAAACATACCATTATATTTTATAGCTCCCTTAAGTACATTCTTATGTAAAGATGGCCTTTCCCCCTCAGCCTTTCCTTCTTCTTCTACCTTGAACCTTCATTCAGTGGTCACTTTCATAGAAGACATTATGTATATTCAAATAGGAAATCTTGTATTTCCCCTCTTGATCCCTCGCACCACCGCAGTACTGGGTTTCTAACCCAGGGTTACTCCACACTGAGCTTAATTCCAGCCCTTTTTAATCTTTTTAAGGCAAGATCTAAGTTGCCAAGGCAGGTCTCAAACTTGGAATGCTCCTGCCTCAGCCTCCCAAGTACCTGGGATCCCAGGCATGTGCCACTAAACCAGCTTTTCCCTCTTGATTCTTTAGTTGAAAAGCCATTAACAACAATATATGACTAAAGTCATGTACTATGGTTTACTACAAAGCCAAATGGTATTTCAATATCACAACCAAAATATCCTAAGGAGTATACTGAGAGCATAAAGATTACTGACATTTTAATTTATATCATTCAGATGGTTCTTTTTTTAAAATATAAGTATGTGGTAATGGGGTCTACAACTCATTCAGTGTGATATCACTGCCCTAAGCCACCAACAATATGCACCACTGCTTCTATGCCATCAAAGCAAATGTTCAACAGCCTCCAGACTTTCAGAGAACAATTCAAGAACCACTCATGGAGGCTAAAGCCAAGAGTCATTAAGATAATAAGGGTAAAACAAAATATACAATTCATCTCTTCAGAAGAATGTGTTTGTTCACATGGCAAAAGATTTTAAAAAGTTATAACCCAAAATAATAGTTGCTATTTTCTCTGGGTAGTAGAAATAACTGATTTTCTATTATTTTTTCTGGACATCTGTATTTTATAACTTTCCAACAGTAAACATGCATTACTTGACATTATATAGAAATTTAAAGGGAAATAAAATAAACAAAGGACCTAGGGTTCACTTTCCAGTGATTTTAAGTTCACAAGCAAAAATAGAAGAAATCACACTCAGGCAAATTGCACGTTTGATTTCTAAAGCTCAGATCTGCCAGCTTGTGCATTACAATTCTGGAGCAAAGCATTATTCCCCTCCCACAAAAGACTAATTCAGAAATAAATATATATCCTGTTTCTTAGTTAATAAGCCCATAAAGAATAACAGAAGTGGCTAAAAGAAGATGAGTTTACCCCATGGGTACTATACCTGATTTTTGGTTCCGGTCAATGAGAGGGAGAGTGCTATCATCATATGAATGACTACTCTGGCTTCTAGAAGCATTGTTTAGATTCACCTGGAGGCAAACAAAATGCCAAGTCATAGAACAGAATGTCTTTTTATTCTCCAGCCTGCCTCCACCCCACAAAGCAATCTGCCCCGCCCTACCTCCTCCACAGGCTCTCCTTAAACATGGTTTCCCTCCCCAGCTTTCCATACCCCACCCCACACCCATAGGCCCCAGCCCCTAAGGCACATTTTATCCCACAAAAGATTTAATCTTCTACATTCCTACTTCCAACTCTTAAGAAAAGGTAACGCTTAAGGATTGAATAAATACCCAACATAGTGAAACAATAGGCTTCTATTTGTGTTCCTGAACAGGAAATTTTAAAAGTTCCAAATACTCTAGTATGACTTTCAGAAGGAAACAGTCTTAGAAAATGGTAAACTTGCTCAAAGGGTCAGGGGAGATTTGGAGAAGTCGCCAAGGCCATCATCACCCTTCATCACCACCAGCGCTTACTTACTCCACGTTATGACACTGAGGGAGACCAGAGCTATTTCAGCAGCAAATGAGCTATAAATACCGCTCTTGAGAAGTAAAGCAAATAAGGTCTACTAATTAGAGACTTGGGTCAAAAATAGACTTAGTGTGATGATGAAATAGAAGAAAAAAAAATGTTTTGGTCTTGAGAGTTACTATACCTGAAAGTCTGATTTCTTCCATCCTTCTTTTTCCAGGGGCTTCCTCAGTTCCTTATATCCCCAGATTGTCTGTAATACAAGTGCTGCTGCTCGAACTTCTTTTTCTGAGCGATTCCTTAAAGTAACACCATATTAAATTTGGATGTAAGACCAGGAAAGAAGCTTAGGACATATATTTTCTGGTAACAACGTAAGAATATAAATGCCAAAAAGGGTGAAATCAAATTTTCCAAAACCTATATTCTGTCCCAAAGAGTAAAATACAATACTGTCTGACATAAGTGTCTATTATCAATTTATGGATCAATATTAAGACAGAAAAAGAATAATGTCTTTTCACATTTCACACGTAAGGAAGAGGAATAATCTCAGAAAGCAAGAGTGGGGACTAGGAATGTGGTTCAGTGAAAAGAATGTCTGACTGGCATGTACAAGACCCAGGGTTCAATCCCTAGCACTGCAAAAAAAAAAAAAGAAAAGCTCCTTCCTAGCAACCTCCCTTTCATACTTCTAGCTGTGGTTTTAAGTGTAAGCTTACCCTGATTTGTTGATCAACACTAGCTTCTCAATACCCTGCGTCTCTCGAAGCTTTTTGGCAGCCTCTAAGTTCTCAGCAATAACTTCATTGATGGTGTTCAAAAGAGAGACCACAGTGTCCTCAGAAAAATTCCAAGAGGAGCTCTGTTGCCCTCCAGGCAGATTTTTTACCAAGTTAGGAATAGCATGTTTACCTAAAACAGCAGAAGGAAAAAAAGCAGGGAGAAAAGGCAGAGTTAGGCCATAAGGAGCCTTACACTACATTTTATATTGATCAGATCAAGTGGAGATACTGACCATATGAATTTGATTCACTATCCTATAGGATTATATATCGAGAGGGCAAAGAACATGAAATAACATGAACTCATTGTCCTTCCTTCTCTCATTCTTCAATCGCATTAAAACAATGTGAATATTGTACATCAAATATGTTACCCAGTCCTTTCAGATACTCTAATGGAAATAGAATGTCAATACTGTAGTAACTTAACAGAAATGAAGGCATTATGAATTTAAAAGCTCAACAACTCAACAACCTAGGCTCTGCCACTAACTGGCTATATTAATTCTGAGCAAATTACTTAACTTCTATACCCTCAGTTTCCTTATCCTATTTTAAAAAAACAGACCTCTATAAAGTGATGGGGATTAAATGAAAACACAGAAGTATTTAATAATGCCTAGTAAAATGGATGTGCTCAATAAATAACAGCTATTAACATTCTATTTGTGAAGAGTCATCACTTCTTATCTAAGAACCATTAGACCATGTCCCCTCACCCACCCTAAAATTTATAGACTATTGAGGGCTAGAATCTTTTCCTTAGACGATTTCAATAAATACATTACCAGCACCTACAGGCACTGTGCTAGATGCTGAGGCAACAGTGGCATTCAACTCCTTACCGATTAACTCCTTATTGCGTGCATCCACAGCCAGATTTCTTAATGCTCCAGATGCAGCTTTCACCACCCGCTCATGTTCATTGGTCAGGAGGTCAGCTATGGCAGAGAGAGCCTTCTCTTGACGCAGAGCAGAGCGGATGTATCGACCATACTAGGCAGCACATGGAAGACAACAGATTATAAATAACAAACTAGCTATATAAATCTTCCCATTTCCAAATCCATTTTGTAAAACATACTCACCGTCCAGCGCCCAGCACACAAGTTCTGGATGGCTCCAGCAGAGGCTTCTAGGATAGCAGGAGTTTTACTCTCCTTAAGGAGTGAAATATATATCCGAACCACCTCTGGCTGAAATAAGAGCTCATAGCCTGTACAAGAAAGAGCAAGAAGGCAGAGGATACTAATCAATACCTACAAACCAGGCTCTGGTGGCAGGAATCCAGCCTTAGTACTCTAGATAGATGTATTTACCATTACTCTCCCTGAATTCCCTTACCTAGTCAACAGCCAACTCAGAGACTTGATTCTTTTCTTTACCCCCTCTTTGGGTACCAAGATTTGCTTCTTAAGAGTAATTAGTCATGGTAAGAAGCAAAAGATATATCAACTCATCATGTTCAACTCCTTTCTCTCCTTACTCTTTGACTCTTCTCCCCCACAGCTTACTTTGGCCTTGGTTCTACCATGAGCTCTCAGAAGATTCATTTAGTTCATTGATAGCAATCAAGATTCAAGATTTCTCATCTCCAATGAATTATTTCTAATTTAACCCAGTCATTTTTATATCCATGGAGAGCTGTAAACCTTATAGTCATCAATACAATGAGTCCAAAGATGCAAACTATGATAAACAGGATTCTTCTAAGAATAAAGTTTAAGCCTCCAAAACTGTAGTGACCACTTAGGGTAGCTAAGTTTCTGCTATAGCCTACCATCAGAACTTTATCCTATCCTTGAATAACCTGAAGCACTGTCTTAACAAAACAGGCCTTTGTGAATTACTTCTACAATACTATAGATTTTACCAATATTTTCACTGTCACTTCAAATCCCCAAGTCAGAGAAGAGAGAACCGTACATATGTTGCATAAAGTCTACTATTAGGTTACCAAATACCCTATCTGTGGGCTATGTTGATAAGATCTTTGGCGACTGAGAAGAAAAAAAAATAACTTACCTCGAGCAGGACTTGTTCTTTTAGGGAAGTCCACTGTATCATTTACTGGATCCTCTGTGGGTTTTTTCCCTGTAGAAATAGGAAAAGGGTATGGGGCAGGGAGAGAATAGGGGTAAAGAATTTTAAAAAGGAAAATTTCACCTGGCACATTTTTCATTCTTCAGTCAGAATCTTTGGATCAGAGATGCATCAAAAGGAGCAAAAGAAGGGAAGCCCGCCCAACTTGTCCCAGCAGGGGGCTATGCAGAAACAAGGACAGAAAACAGGTAGCAGATAGATAAAACAAGGATAACCACTCTTGTCACTATTGACCTGAGTTTTGATAAAAAGGACTGCTGCCCAGAAACAGCATGCCACGATCCACGAGCTCAGAAGAGCTGAACTTGTTTCAATGGCTTTCCTCAACTCAATTTTCCTACATGCATCCACAGGGAAGGGTTAGGCAAGGAAATACTAGGGAAGCTAAAACCAAAACATGCAAATTAGAAGTTGTCAAGCTCCTTAAAAGATTCAACTCACCTCTGGAGAACCATTCATCTTCCAATGCGTCACCCAAGGTGTAAAGCAGAGGAGAGATAAAGGAAGAAAATGCAGGAGAAAGATGTCAACAAAAGCATGGTCAAATAAGCAAGAAAGCACAGAGAAGCAAAGAAAAACACAGGAAACAGAAAGGAGGAATGGGAAAGAAGGCCCCAGATTAGTTGAGTTCTCAGTGCCTCAGTCATTCACAGCAATACCACCACCACCACCACCACCACCACCACCATCACTACCTCCACCACCACCACAATAAAAGCACACAGCTCAGGGAAAGCAGCAGCAGAGCAACAAGACAGTCTTGACCAGACAGATTCCCAGACTCTTTGCAAATATTCTGTATCTAAAGCTAAGTGTTCCTTCCTCTCCCTGTCCCACATTAAAGAGCAAAGAATGAGGAACTAAGACTCACCTTTGCCCTTCTTGGCCCCAAAGCAACTGGCAGCATGTGGCCCAGTATTGTTGGCAACACTGGGAGGTGCCTCTTGATAACGCTCTGCCTGTGGGATCTCCCGGTGAACTTGATAGGATAAGTTCCGAAGGAGGCACACGCAGTTTTCCACAAGCTTAGGGACACAAGATTTAATGAGAGAAGTAAATACCTATGGTGATTTTGCAGCAACTTCCCATGATTTAGGTATTAAAATATCAACCCTCAAAATATAATACAATCCATCATTTCTCAGTATTCCAGTCTTCTCAAACTCCTTGAATTTAGTGGCTTTAGCCAACCCCAAAACTGGATCACTGACTTTCCTACTTGGAAAATGAATAATCTTAGAAGACCACTAGGCAGCTTTCATATACATGTGAGGAAATTAAAAAAAAAAAAAAAAAATCCTAAGTTGAACACTCCTTCTTTAGGAAGAAGGTGCTGGGATAGGTATTTTATGTAATGGAAAGCATGAGTGGGTAGGTTTACACTACAAGTACTTTGTAGATGCAATGAATGGAATTAATTTACCTTGCTATCTGAATCCTTCTGCCCAATCTCAGCCTGAACGATGAAAATAAGGGCATCAACTAAGCCATCACATTCCCGAAGCTTCCTACGAGCTTCACTTCTCTCTGAGCTTACATTCCTGAAGGGAAACCAGAAAATACTTTAAATGACTCAAATTCAGAAATCCCCCCATTGACTATCCCACAACAAAGCTTCCTTAAAACCCTTTTTACTCACTATAGGAAGTAGTGAATATCTATTATAAGCAAGGCATAGCAGTTAAGAGAAAGTTCATTGACAGTCTCTGCTTTCTGAACCTTTATCACCATGTGGGGTATGGGTTAATAATTCAAGATAGAATAGATACTTCTTGAATGGAAGTACAAATATACCACAGAGCAGAGTGTCTGATTTGAAATATAGAAAACTAAGGGCAGAGATACAGACACACAAAGCCCAGAACTAGATGATTACCTACACATTGTAGGTTCTGCATACGTGTTTACCAAGTTAGATGAACAGAGTCAAAGAGGCATAAAAGAGATGTTTAAGGGAAAACAAACAAACCAACAGCAGGTATATGTGGAATATAAGTGAGTAGCAATAAAGGTAAAACAGTTGGAGTTGCAGTATACAATAAAAAGATAGTAGAGGCTGAATAGCAGGTGAAAGAATTTTAACTTTTGCCAAGCAGGTGGTGCACATCTGTAATTCCAGTTACCCAGGACACTGAGGCACAAGGATCACAAACTCGAGACCAGCCTCAGCAACTTAGTGAGACTCTGTCTCAAAATAAAATAGGCTGGGAATGTAGCTAAGTGGTAGAGCACCCCAGGGTTCAAACACTAGTACAAAAAAAAAAAAAATCTTAACTTTTCTTTTTAAAGAAATTATATCAATCCTCAAAATTTCAATTTTATATTCTCAAAGCCCCTACTATTACCTAAGGCAGCCAGCTGTGTTGGTGAGCACCGACTCCCACTCAATATGGCGTGGCTTACAATCTTCATTAGGTTCCCTCTCCCAACCAGAATGAGGAATGATCACTTCATCTGTCAAGGCGTGCAGTGCATGGTCCACAATCTCCATTTTGATTGAGTCATGGGATGAGAGATTCCACAGGGTTCCTGACAGAGACAATTCATAAGATAGCTCTCCAACACCCAAGATCATGTTTGAAGAATGTCAAGAGAATCCCCTATTGCTCGACTTCTTGGTCTTCCTTAATGAACAAGTATCTTGCATTGATATTCAAGCTTTTGTGTTTAACCCGTGGTAAGAAATAAATTTTATATTTTTACAAACATACAGATTATGAAGTAAAGTTCCATAAAAATAGTACTGCCTATAACTAATGCTCACCGATCCACCTATACTGATCTCTTCTACCTCGACTCCACTATCATTTGGGGTCACATAATTCTTAGTTGTAGGAAGCTGTCCTGTCTACTGCTGGATGTTTACCACTCCTGGCCTTTACTCACTGGATGCCAATAGCACTCTCTACCCACACTGCAGTTAAAACAAGCAAAAATGTCTCCAACATTGCAAATGTCTTCAGGGAAGAGAGGGGAGAATTTCCTCCAACTAAGAACCAATGGTCTATACATTCTCCTTTATTTTTTTGATATGCGGGGTTGAACCCAGGGGCACTCAACTACTAAGCAATATCCCCAGCCCTTTTTATTATAAGACAAGGTCTCACTAAACTGCTTAGGGACTCACTAAGTTGCTCAGGTTGGTCTTGAACTTGCAATCCTTCTGCCTCAGCCTCCTGAGTCACTGGAAATAGAGGCATGCATCACCACACTAGGCATTTTTTTTTTCTTTTCTTTTGCTTGGAATGGTGATTGTGACCCACAAAATTGTGTTCAATTCACACTATCAGATCACAGCTCAGAATCTGAAAAACCACTGTTCTAAATAAAGCAAGGATCACAGCTCAAATGTCTAGATGGGCCTAGCATGTGAGTCAAGGCAGGCATACACTTAAATTACGCAATTGGGGAAAACTGGAAACTGACATCGAGCTTCCATGTTTGGAAGACAATCTTCTTTGTGACCGTAGTTGATTAGAGATAATCTATAATCAAAAGTTAAAGGACTGGAAACCCCTCTAACTCTCAACTTCTCTGGGGTAAGAGTCACCCAAACTTAGCACTTCCTGGGGCCTAGAACTTACCAGTAATGACTTCAGTAAGATCCATATCACGAGCCTTTCGGAGCAATCGCACAAGGGCAGGAACACCATCACAATTTTTTATGGCAATCTTATTATCTTGGTCACGTCCAAAAGAGATATTCTTGAGAGCTCCACATGCTCCAAGGTGCACTTCCTTTTTGGGGTGGTCTAATAATCCCACCAGCACTGGGATGCCCTTGAGCTTCCGCACATCAGTCTTCACCTTGTCATTGCGGTAGCATAAGTGTTGCAAGTATGCAGCTGCATTAGACTTGACAGCATCCAAGCGGAATCCCAGCATGGCGATAACCTCTGGCAGCTCAGGCTGTCTCCAATTGGGAGGTGGGGGGCCTCCCTTGCGAAGGCTATCCAAGCTTGCTAAACTTCCCCGCTCATGCTGGGCCAAAGGAGCCCAATAGTACTGATCTGCTGGCACCTCCTCGCCAATCATGTCTTCATAACTCCTGCAGATTTTTGGAAAAACCAACAGAAAAGAGAAATACATCAAGTAGTTAAGCCTAGCTTACTGGACACTCCTATAAACCCCCAACATTAAGGCAGGATTATCCCCAGCACTGATACACAGATCATATATCTCCTCTGCATTAATAATATGCTAATCAATTTTAATAATTTCAAAGGTACCTTCAATTAAATTAGAGCTACCCTTTTTTCATCAAGTTTGCTAGCTCAGAAAGTAATATTTGGAGAAGTTAATCACAAAAAAAAAAAGAACCAAATCTAGTTACTGAACATGTATTTGAATGATACCTGAAAATTATTAATTTCCAGATAGAGATTAAAATAAATCCTCAGACAGCATAGCTAACCAAACTAAATGACTCAATGTCACAGAAATCATCAAATAAAGCCTGAGAACAGTTCTAACAAGCCCTTAGCTAAATGGGAAATGAGGCATTTACACATAGGGAACAGTTGGTAGAATAAGACCCTTAAACATACTTCATATTTAAGGTTCTCCTTATCCTATCTTGGAAATTATTAAAGAGGGAGGGGCTGATAGAGAAAAATAGAAAAGAACTTCTTGCTACATCATATGAATACCTGTCTTTGGTACTGATAAGGTGTATGTCTTGAAACACTAATTCTCACAGTTCATAGCAACATCAGACCTACTAGTCAACAAATATGGGTTTGGTTTTGTTTTATCACCAGGGATTGAACCTAGGGAGCCCTTTATCACTGAACTACATCCCCAGTCCTTTTTTTGGGGAGACAGGATCTTTCTAAATTGTTAAGGCTGGCCTCAAGCTTTTGATCTTTCTGCCTCAGCCTCCCAAGTCACTGGGATTACAGGCATGTGCTATCATACCTAGCTCTCAGAAATATATTTGAAATGAATCCCATTCTCCAATTTCTAAATACCTCCAATTTTGTCAAAATCTACTGACCAACACTGTTTTTAGGATACCCAGCCACATGAAACACACAGCAATTGCAGGAAAGAAGTCAGTGGGAAGATAATTCTTCCTGTTTCAGTACTACCAGCAACCACTAGAGGGTGAGTCTGTCACACTATTATTTATTCATAACCACCAGGAAGAGACCCATTATCTCTGCACTCATCTCATTCTGCGGCTCCCACAGGAGAGAGGAGAACCTATTGTGTGGAACTCTCCAAATAAGACCTTTGTTTGCTCCACAAAACCACTCCCACTGCCACCAAACACTCAAGGTTATCTTAAGCTGAAGATCTGCCTCATGGGTGTCAACAACAACCATTCAACAGTGATTCAAAGGCCCAAAGCATTTAGTTAAAAATAAATAAATAAATAAAGGCCATTTCAAAATATCATTGAAACAAAATAAATTGGTTATATTAGCTAAATTTTAAGAGAAGGCTACTAACCTGTACGTGAAGAAAGATTTCCTTTTAGTCTAGGGGTAAAAATACAGCATGTTCACAAATATAGGAAAAAGAACTCAAAGGCTATGCACCAAAATGTTAACTGTAGTTCTTTTTGAATGGATGGTGTGCTTTTCTGGGGTTTTCAGGCTCTGTGTTAAGCACCTTTTAATTTTCTTATTATTTTAAGATAAGCAATTATAAAAAAACAATTACCATAACCAAATTTTAGTCACCTGAAGAAATCTTATATTTCCTTCTTCTACAGGCAAAGGATCAAGATTCTTTCAATTTACAAATAACAAAGCTGTGTCCAGAAAGATCAAATGACTTGCTTGAAGCTACACAACTAGTGGCAGAGGTACAATTAGAACTGAGATTTTTCAAGTTCAGTGGTTTTTTACACTAATCAACTGCCTCACTGTTTAAGTTTGACCTTGTATTACTTATTACTCTCCTAGGCCCAGAACAGGAAGCAGCAAATGATATAATGATCTTATCGTCAAGCAGGTTTCCAAGTCCAGTGCCATCCTGGAACAAACCCAAGAACCAGGCCCCTTCTCTATGTCAACTGCTACAGGGATAGCACAAAATGGCCTAGCCACCCACACCCACCTAGGTCCAATCACTCTTTACTAATGAGGAAGTCAGAAAAAGCAGACAACACCCTGGGCAGACTGCTGCTATCTACCCCTGCTCTAGGTTGCACCAGCTGAAGTCTGGTGCCCCTTCAGGAATAAAAGGTGAGTCACATGGGAGTTGGATTAGCTAAGACACCTGAAAGGTAAATGATTCAGGCTTAGATAATGGGGCCTCTACCCCTGTCCCCAACCCAGTTCACTATTAACCAATGCTCCCTATACATGAGGAAAGTAAGCACCAAGGCATTTGGCTTTAGAAGGTCATGACCCATACACAGAAATTCAGTAACAGCTGCCAAAGCACCCTCACCATCAAGAAAACCTTAAATTTTTCCTTCTTTTCATGTCTCTTTGTCTGGAAAACACAGTCCCTAATTTATTCTGAAGCAAGATTTGCAGCCCACAGGCCAAACCTGTCTTCATACCACCCAAGAACTAAATATTTTTATATTTTTAGAGGCTTGTTTTTTAAAACAAAAAACATCTAACAAAGATAACATAGAACCCACAAAGCCTAAAGTAGGTCCTCTGTAAAGGTCTGCCAATCCCACTCTAAAGCATTCTCGAGGCAACAAGGGAAAGTATCTACTATACATCAATCGGTCTACTTTCATTTCACCCAGAATTCCCATGGAAAAGTCTGATCCCTAAAGGTTCTTAAAAGTAGAAAGAAAAACCAGCTCTTTCCCCCATCTTGGAAAGACCCTTTCCTTTTACTCTTGCCTACCTGAGGCGGCGGCGAGGGTCAGAGGGTGTCCCAGTTCGACGGGCAGTGCCATAATCAGACATCATACCGTAATCCAGGTCATCATAGCCCATACTACGCTGGTCATCTTCTAACCCGTAAGGCTCTGGGTGAAAGCGGTGCAGATCCACACTGCTCCCCCCTACCCGAACCTGGGGCTGTGGCCCATAGACATCCTGTCTACTAGGTGCCCTGTAGCCTTCCATGCTGGGCCTATATCGTTCCTCAATGCGAGTCACCCGGGATAAACTGCCATAGTTGTCACTGCCACCTGGATAGCCATCTTCATAGTGGCGGCTATAACCATCAGGAGGGTAGTGGAAGTTCCTCGGAAGGGTAGCAGTGCCTGCTTGGCCCACATAAGGACCAGGTCCACCATTGCCATTCTTGCGGAAGTCACGACCCAAAGTCTGGATATAGTTGTTCGAAACTGATGAGGCATCCACAGGCAGCCCGTCTGGTCCCACAGGGACTGGCTGTACCGTCCGTGTTGTCACTGTCTTCACTACTTTCTTGACCTTCAATTAAGGAATGGGGGGGAAAAAAAACTACTGAGGGAAATAAGTGATACAAGCTTACTTCCAAACCATTCCAAGAAAAGAAGCAAACCCTAATCTCTAGGCCACTACACTAGAAATGCCTATACCATCTACCTTTCTTCCCATCCTATACATCTGAGCAAGAAAACTGCCCTGGCAATTACTGCTTCTCGGAGAAGCTCCTACAGACCTTGACATGCCCTCTCTCTTCCTAATCCATCAGATTTTCCCATATCACTTTTCCATGTGAAGAGAGATCACTTTCTTTTTGGCATAAGTTCAGATTAGTGATCCTTCCTTCACCCTAATTAAGTGCTTAATCTCTCCCCTAATACAAACTACAGAAAGACTTCTTCTATTTTCTATTAATGAGACCTTATGCAAATCTCAGCTTACTGTGGTCTCTGTGCGCCGAGTGGTCCCATCATCTGAGGTCTCCACAGAGACAACAGACATGGCTCCTTCAGGGTCCTCCTCTGTGTAAGTCTCCACAATCTGCCCTGGCTCTTGCATCCTGGGGATGGTGCTATATAGAAGATGACTGTGATCCTATATGGAAAAGAGGAAAAGAAAGAAAATACTATTAAGCCATGTGTTATTAAGAACCCATCCTAGTAAGAAGCAGAAGGGTGAAGACTATTCATCCATCTTTTATAGACCTCAAGATTTTTAAAGAGAGGTGATTGTTACCTTTCAAACTTGTACAAAAGTAAAGATAATTTTCCCATTCTAGTCATTTAACTAATATGTACCAAGCTAAACAGCTGATAGCCATATTGACACCAAGTGACAAAGGTAGCAGATTTAACTTCCCAATTCTGGTCATCTACGGTTATCTAAATGAATATGAACTATGTTAATGGGCCATATATACATCTGAGTGATCTCTCAAAACGGGCTTATCCAATAAATAAAGAACGTTTTTTATTACAAGGGATTGATCCCAGGGGCGCTTAACCACTGAGCAACACTCCCAGCCCTTCATTAAGAATTTTATTTAGAGACAGGGTCCCACTCAGTTGCTTAGTCCCTAAATTGCTAAGGCTGGCTTTGATCCTCCTGCCTCAGCCTTCAGAGTCACTGGGATTATAGGCATGCACCACCATGCTCACTCCCCACCCCCCCCAAAACAAAGAACTTTTAGGATAAAACAGAAAATCCCTATAAGACCAATCATTTGACTGACTTTATATTACTCTAAGGTAAGCCAGAAGGCTTCTAAGACCAACCAGATTTTAGGTAAGATTTTCTGCAAAGTAGAATTATGCCCTCCCTAAAATAGGAATGTAGTACCTAGGATCACATGACAGGGACAGGGAGGTAGTAATAAAGATCAATAGCCATTAATATTCATTTCAAAACAAAGCTACATATACTTTGTAGCTCCACCTTTTTACTTTCCTAAATGAAAGAAACTAATTGATGGGTATTTACAATGTGCCAGACACTTTATGAATTACCATGATGCTCTTATAAGCTGAAGAAGTAAAATGATATGAATGAAACAACCCAGCCTTGAGCCAAAAGAATTACCTGGGGTCCGTTGAGTTTCAAATCTGAAAACTTCTGTCTCTCAAGGTCAGCATCGCCCACAAACCGGCCGTTCTGAAACATAGCCCATGAAAGGACAATTCATTTTGTGGCCTTCCTTTACTCTATCAAACATAAATGTCTTTTTCCCAAACAGGAAAAGGGCTTTCAAGAAGATGTTTGTGGCTGAAATCCTTGTGTCAGTAGTCATAAAATAACCATATTACTTCTTAGCTTAGAACTTTCCTCAAAGTTGGAATCAGGCCTGCAACTCTGGCAGACTGGGTCTTTGGTACATAAAAACCTAAGCTCCGTGAGGGCAGAGGGGTTTGGGGGTCAGTTTTATTTAAGGTAGCATCCCTAGTGCCTTACGCAGTGCCTGATACATTATAAGCGTTCAAAAACTATTTGCTGAAATAAAGTATGTTTTGGAAAAGTTTCCCTACATGCAACCTTTTTGAAAATCCCTGAGAATATAAGGAAAATTGAAAAGGCTAATTTAGGGGATTTCCAAAAGTCTTCGTTATTGTTCCCTGAATCTTCATGCTCTGCTACCATTGGAAACTCCCATTCCATACAGCTTTTTAAAGAAAGATGTAAGTCTCCCTTTCCAAGTATGAAGAATATAGGTACCCCAATTCCCCTCCAAGAAGACTAAATTCTCAACATCTTTATCATCAATTATTACAACCACAGAACACATTCCAAAATGTCAATCTTAAATTGTTCTGTCTTAAATAGCAGGAAATAATCTAATGACATTATATCATATAGAAATACATATTTCCCTGCTCCTCTTTCAATACAGAACACAGTGAGATCCGGCCACCTTAGGAAACTCTTCTCCCACCCCACTCCCCTTTACATGAAGAGTATAACACTGAGGGAGAGGAAGTTAAACATTACTTTCAGGAAGAAGGAAAGGTGTGGTTTCATTGCTGAGCAGAAGTTAAAAATAAGAGAGCAAGAGAAAGAAACCACATACTAAATCCTGGAATTCCCCACCACCTCCAAGCCTGAGTCGTCTTTTCAATATATACATCTCATCACTAGCCCTCTACTCTGGCTCCTAGAAAAAATTAGAAACATTGCAAATATACAGCCTCCTTCAAATTCCTGATTATCCCCAACTGGAATTCTGTCCTCTAGCTCAATCTGCAAGGTTCCTCAATAGGAGGGACCTTTTCTATCTTAAAAATTAAATAATCAATAAAAAGGACTGTCAAGGCATGAGCACTATTTTGGTTTCCATCCAGAGACCTCCTAAGATGAAGTCTATCAAGCAATGCCCTCCGCCTCCCCCCACACACACACCCTCAGACAGATTACGTCACAGCAAAGTCAGACTAGATAAACCAAAGGAAACAAAAGATACTTCTCACTTCTAACACCAACTCTCCAAAGTCACATCAGAAAGTCAGCCAACGAGAGACCACTGGCTCCTGTGGTTATTTGGGTTAAACAGCAGAATGAAGCTCCCTCTCCAATTCTAACCAACAGAATTAACAATAACCCCTTCCTCCAAGACATGATTTATACAGCCAACAAAAAAGAGGCCACAAAGGCAATACGGAACAGGAATATACAATTTATGGATACAGTCACACCTTCTGAGAACAGACTGTTCCCTGAAAGGACTGAATGAAGCTGGGAGTACAAAATGCCCAACTTCCCCAACCAATAAGTGCCCATGTACTTTCTTGAATTTTTGATGCCAAGAAAAAAATAATCAGAGAAAACAAGTAATTTGACTATAGCCCCAAACTATACTATCTGCCACGGCATCCCAACCCAGAAAACCCACTCCAACAAAACAAGAAGTCAGATGATGCTTCTAGAGATAAGTCCACCCAACTCAGCACAGCAGCAATATTTCTTATTTCTTAATCAGTATTTAACACCTCTGGAAAAGTTCAAAATGAAGCATGGGCATTGGATAGCCCATCACCGAGGGTAGAGTAGCTTCCCAATAAGGATTTTACCCTCTCCATGACCATGCCAAAGTCCTACCTGCTGGTCTGATGGAGAGAGGGGTTACCTGATGCCGGCGTGTGAGGGTGCCGTTGGCCATGAGTGGGTTGGCATCCTGTGGTGAGACCCGGACGCGTTCCAGTTGCGCCGAGACGTGGCGCCGTTCCTCCTCCAGCGCCCGGGTCAGCTTCTCAAACTGGGCCTCTTGTTCCTTCACAGAGGCCAAGATGCTGGCGGTCGACTCCACCTCTGAGTCGTCCATGAAGGTAAGGGGCAGAGCCGTGGCAGGGCAGGGTAAAAAGGAAGGTGGATCACAGAGGGAGGAGGAAGGAGGGAGAAGGCCCCCCTCACTTCACACTATCGGGAAAGGATAAGAGAGAGGAGAGAAAAGATCACAGGTCAGAGAAGACAGATGAATTATTAATCCCAGAGCCAAAGATGCCCTCTCGTGGTTTTACTACAATGCAGAAAGCAAGCCACCACCAAGCCTGGGGGCCCATCACCAGTGTCTACTCAAGCAGAGTCCTTTGCCCACTACCCTCCCCAACAGCCCATCAAAAGTACCTACTGAAAGGAAAGTGGTGACTAGATCTGTCAGTAGGAGAAGGAGAATGTGACTAAATGTGGTAATCATGGCATGAGATTAAAATTAGATTCTTTTTTCCCTGGAAAAATTTGCTAGTATCAATTTAATGAAAGTTTTAACTGCATGGTACAGACAAGCACTCACTGTCCTTCAGGGCCAAGCCACTTCTAAAACAAGGCAGTACAGATTTTACTTAACCTCTCTCAAATCTGTTACTGATGCTGCTATAGTAGGGGCAAAATATACTAAATTAATATGCTAAATTAAAATCCCAACTAAGAAATGTAAATTGGAAAAAAATATCTCCCCCTTATCAAAGGTGGAAAGACAAAATTAAGTCCTCCATGTTTGATACATTTATGGACGGGTCTTTCTAGCTTCCAAACTATACTACAATATTGAGGGCAAAATGTGCCTTAACTGAGACGAGATAGTAATAGAAGCACAAAACATAATCTATGGGGGGTGGGGGGACACTATTTCCTAGGACTTTTACCTCTTTGGGGAATAGGAAAAGGAGCAGTAGGCTCAAACTCTTAAAAAGTACACCTTGAAGTAGTTCATATTCTAACTCCTAGATGTCAAAGGCTAGAACTTCCTATGACTCTATAATCTTACAGACAGCTCTAAACAGATTATCCTTTTACCACTTCACTTGTTCCAACTCGGGGCAAATACCCAAGTATCTAGATGGTTTATGTGTGCTGTTTATACAATAAATGATAATATATCCTTATTATATAACAGCAAGTTGGCCAATAAATCAAGAAGCATTATAGTCATACTGCTGTACTTAGTTGATTGTCACTATGGGTGACCCTATGGCCAGTCCAAAAGGCAGGTTGGAGGTAATCTCCCCTACTCTCCATTCTCTCATCAACCCCCCACCCCCGTGGAAAAAAATCACTTAAAAATATTTATTTATTCTTAATAAATGTGATTTTAATACACACCTGTTAAGAGAAGGGTCGTAATTGATTGTTTTAACACAGAGAACAGCCCAGTCTAGATTCAAAAAAATCATGGAAGAAGCATCCCAGCCACCACAGCAAGGAGGAAGCAGGAAGGAGAGAGCTGCAGAAATATTTGAAAGAAAAATGGAAATGAGAGGAAAATAAAATATGCCCAATGCATAAATACAAGAGAATAAAGGGGAAGTTTGAGGAATGAAAGGTATTAATTTAAAATATGATTTGGATGGGGAGGTTGAGGCAAGAAGATCCAAAGTTCAAGGCCAGCCTCAACAACTTAGAGAGGTCCTAAGCAACTTAGCAAGACTTTGTCCCAAAAAAGAAAAAGGAAAGGGCTGGGGATATTGCTCAGTGGTTAAACACCCCTGGGCTCAATACCAAAAAATAAATATATACATTGTATGTGTGTGTTTGTGTGTGTGTATATGTGTGTGTGTGTGTGTGTGTGTACTGAATGAATGAACTGTAATTGCTTAATGTGACCAATGCCCTTTAGACTTTGCTGTGTTCAGATACCTGGGCTTTGAATGTAGTTTTCATTAAAATATGGACTCTACTGTCCTATCAAGAATTCCTCTATTTGTACCTCTATACAGAACCAAGAACTGTTTATAATATGGATAAAAACCCATTTATCCCTTGTTCCCAGCAATCAAATTGGGGGGGAAATTCCTGTTGGAATGCCCTTCCCCCTCCTTTCCACCCCTAAGGCAGAAACCTCAAAGCCCAGTTCCAGCATGCCCACAAAGACATTGAGAAACCAATGCAATAGTAGCAGTGGGGAAGACAAGTGGAGACTAGCCTAGACTGAATCTTTTGCTTAGGTTCTGTTTCCCACGCTCCCCAGAGCCCCACCAAGCACAAAGGATTGGGCCTACTTGCCTTAGAGTGTATGCAGCATTCAGCAAGCAAGAGTCCCCAGAGAAAACTGATAAACAGGTGCCCAAAACTCTTGAATTAATTCATTCCCTAAATCAGAAAGTATATTGCCCCCCCATCCAGATATGAACTCCCACAACCACTTATCAACTCCTGTTCTTCCTTTGAGTCCAAAGCCCATTGCCACTTTCTCACATTCCCATCCTACATTTTAACAGGCCACTCAAAGGTCTTTCTTATAATAAGTATCCTTATCATTAAAAACTGTTCCCTTTCCATCTCTATTTCTTCATTTTAAACACTTGCCCTTATCCGCTATGTACAATGACCTATGAACTTCCACACCAAGAAGACTCCACTTAAGAGAGATTCTTCCAGTTACTGAGCTTAAACAGGGCCTGCAGTGCAGTTACCACTCTGGCAACCTCCACCCTGTAATCTTCCTTGCTAATAAAAGCCCAAACAACCACTACATGGGGCATACAGAGACAACACTCCCTGCTGCAGAAATTATTTGTTATCCTGCCATGAATGGCTACTTTTTGCCCCCACAACTTAAACTCAGAAAAAGGGAGTTAGGAAGATAGGAAAAAGGTAGGTCAGAAAACAGTGTCTGGAGAAACATTAGCTTCTCCAATCTTCATAATTTTAAAGCTGACCAAATTGAAGAGGACAGTACAGCTGGTAGGAAGAGGAGATCAGATTCCTAGGTCTAAAAGCAGAAAATTTTTCTGCTTGAAAAGGGCAGAAGCAAAGGCTACGCTGGACAGAATACAACTCAGAAGACCAGTTCCAGTCCTCACTCGCCAACAATGGCAGTTAAGTCCCTGCCACATACTCATCTGTACAATGCCAGTATCACCAACCCAATGTAACTCAAGAGTTGCTATGCAGATTCGGTGAGATAACTGTTATACAAATGTGAGGTACTAAGTTGTTTCAAGAGTTAGTTTCTGTCTTCCAATTACGTTACTTCATGATACTATCTCAGCTCCAAACTATTTTGTGAAGTAGTAGATTAAATTAACAATTAAGATCATAGCTGAGGCTAGGTGCAGTGAACCACATCAGTAATCCCACTGGCTCAGGAGGCTGAGGCAGGAGGGCTGCAAGTTCAAGAGCAGCCTCTGCAACTTTGTGAGACACTGTCTCAATTAAAAAATGAAAAGGGCCGGGAAGGTAGCTCAATAGTAAAGCACCTCTGGGTTCAATCTCTAGTACCCAAACAAACAAATGGGTTCTAAAGAATGGATTACCCTACTCAATTTTAGAGGTCTCACCTAGGCCAGTGTTTCTGGGACAGAGGGCACTTCTCTAGTGCCTGGCACTCATTACAGCATTACAAATCTGTTAATACCAAGTTTTTTAGTCTCTATTTAAGGCCTTACCAGTATTATTACGAAGGAAAAAAGGGAATGTGAAAAGAACTAACAATTGCTAAATGCTTCACACTCATTATCCTGGCAATCCTAATAGTAACCACAAGGAACTAAGTTTGATTGCAAATTAGAAAACAGACTCAGATGAAGAAATTGCCCAAGTCCCCATAGTTAATAGCAAATTTTGAATTTAAACCCAGATCTCTGTCATTCCCAAGCCTACATTCTCTTTCTACACCATGCTGCCAAGTCCAAAAAGATATGCAACATAAGATACATGAGCAACGGCTGGGGTTGTGGCTCAGTGGTAGAGTGCTTGCCTAACATGTGTAAGGCCCTGGGTTCAATCTTCAGCACCACATGAATAAAATAAATAAATAAAAGGTATTGTGTCCAACTATAACTAAAAAATAAATATTAAAAAAAAGATACATGAGCGAGCCTCTATGCCCTACAACTACTGAGAGCTTTCTTCCTAACTATCATAAAAATAGGGGGAAAGAAGATGTTTCCATTTTTCTTTAGAATAAAGAATTATTCCTTTTCTACATTAGAGAGGGGGGAAAATGAGGAAAAAGAAACGAGTGGGGACAAAGAATAATGACATTGAGCAAGCTACAGAAGACCAGTCTTGCAATTCAGAAATTTGATGACGTTTCTTCTACAAGCCATACACATCATAAAAAGATAATGCTACAAACCATAACTGACTTTGGCAGAGTCAGGAATGGCTTATAAGTCAGGTCCAACACCTTTCTAGTTTTGCCACTTAATGTTTCCAAAGCGTTCACTTAAAAAAAAAAAAAAATCAAGGATTCCTGATGTGAGAAGGGTGGCACATAAAATGAAACTTGTTTTTCTCCTAAGACTAATATTTCCTAAGAATAGTCAGCCAGCTTTATGATTAACAAGTTTTAGATCCTATATTACTGGATCCCATCCACACTAGAAGGCCTACCTGTTATTACCCAGCGTCTACAGCAAGATTCCCTCATTCAAGCAGTGACAATGATAAAAGTTCACTCTCTGCTGTCAGAACTCCAAACCAAAACAAGTTAAATTGAATCGGTGCCCAGAAGGCCAAACAATTAGACAATGCCAAACAAATAATAGGGCGAAAAACCAGTCATCAATAGCACAGTCCCTGAAATGATTTGTTCTATTGTAAACAAGCTATAGAAATATAATTTGGAATTTTGATTCTTAAAGGTTAAGAATATAGGCTTTGAAATCTGACTGGATTCAAGTCACAGACCTAACACTTATATAATATCAGACCAGTACCACCTATTTTTAACCTCAGCTTTCCTGTCAATGGAGAAGTAAAAATACATAGGATAACTGTGAGGATTAAATGAGATGATTCATGTAAGTTCATAGGAAAAGGTCTTAACACATAGAAAGTTATTAATGTTACTACTACAAATACTTCTATAAAACACAAAGGACTAGAATTTTGGTGGTGTTGCAGAGTTTCTGAGTAAATCACACATCTCGATATGCACTTCTCATTCTATAGGAATTCTTCACACTCTCAATGGGAAAAACAAAATAACACTCCAGACTAGGAGTCAAAAGACCCAGGGCCTAACTACTGGCTCTGCCAAAAACATGCTAGGCAATCTTGAAGAAGGTATAGCCCCTGAAAGCTTCAATTTTTATTACTTAAGTCAGTCAGGGTGGCACACATCTAACCTCAGCTACTCAGGAAGCTGAGGCAGGAAAACACAAGTGCAAGGCCAGCCTCAGCAATTTATCAGGGTCCTAAGAACTTAGTGAGACCCTGTCTCAAGGGCTGGGATGTAACTGAACTAATTTATTTCCCTTCCCGCCATGCAGTTCACATAAGTACATCCAATGATGTGACCAGATTTAGACAAACAAGCCTTCACTGGAAGAGAAAAAAGAATTTGTCCTAAGATGAAGAACTCTAAACTTCTTTTGAGTTCTTGGGACAGAAATTTTATCCTCTGTAGCCAATCCCAAAAGTAGTTCTCCTCCTTTCTTTTTATTTATGCATTATAAAATCAAACCAATGCCATAAATTTATGCTTTTCCTCTAAATGCAATGATAAGTAAAATTTCACTTCCACTGTCTTCTAGGCATATAGTTTTTTAAACAAAATGCACTGAATCTCCTTCTAAAGACTACCAATCAAGGCCAGATGCAGTGGTGCATACCTGTAATCCCAGTAGCTCAGGAGGTGGAGGCAGGAGGATGTTCAAAGTCAGCCTCAGCAATTTAGTGAGGCACCAAGCAACTGAGGCCCTGTCTCTAATAAAATACAAAACAGGGCTAGGGATGTGGCTCAGTGGTGGAGTGTCAGAGTTCAATCCCCAGTACCCCCCCACATACACACACACAAAAAAAAAAAAAAAAAAGAATACCAAACAAGGCCTGGGGTTGTAGCTCAGTGGTACAGCACTTGCCTAGCACGAGTGAGGCACTGGGTTCAATCCTCAGCACCACACAAAAATAAATATAATGAAGTTATTGTGTCCATCTACAACTAAAAATATTTTTAAAAGCCAATCAATAAAATATGGTCACTGTAATACTACAGAACTGTATGAGACAACATTTAAGAAAGAAAAGATCTGCTCCAAAATTCAAAATTAATCACTCTTGTTCAATCACAAACACAGAGAAAATTGCCACTTTGTTTCTAAACCAAAGGAATATATTTTGTCAAGTTTTTTCTATGGCTCCTTATCAGAAAGAGTTCTTGTACCTGAGTCCAAAGTCTAAGTACCCACCCTCTGTTCTCACTTGATATTCCACCTTCTGAAGCTCAGTCAGAATAATTCTAGTATTTCACTTGGAAGACTCACTTCCATGCTAACC